CTGCTTTAATTTATTACTGAAGAAAATAATATGAGCTTCAGTGCTGAACAGAGAATGTACAATCTTCAATAGAAGTGTACAGCTGCTGGCGTCCGTCGTGAGTTCTGTTTTCTCTACACCAGATAAGGAAATGAAAGATATGGGTCAACACGCAAACAGTCATTGCATTTGCGACGAACGACGACCAAACCTTACAAGTCGCTCAACATACCCTTCCAGCAATATGGTACAGATGATTCAACGATGACAACATTTAATGAGTCGACGTGGTTTTGAGTAAGATATATGATTCTCGGTGCGTTCGCAACGGCGAATGCCGCAGTCGATGGAACGATGAGCTGTACGGCGACATTGACATAGTTCAGCGAATCAAAAAACAGCGACTGTGTTGGCTAGATCATATAGTCCGGATAGATCAAAATACACCGGCTGTAAAAGTTTTCAGTATTTACTCTTAGAAGCAGAGGAAGACCCGCATTCCCTTTGAAAGACCAGGTAGTATTTCCAACTTGCGCCAAATAGCGATAAGAAGGAACTAATGGCGCGCTGTTGTTAAGCTGTATCTACGTAAAGACGAAGGATCGTAGATTATAGTGGATGAGATTTATATGGAAGAACGAACCATCACGTAATATATTTTTTAAAAAAGCCCTCTGTTTCTAGAAAGAGTAGCCCGTAATTGTCGTGCAATCCATATATAAATAAATGGACGAGCCTATGTCTTTACGAAAAAAACACAGAAAGTTTTCCAATTTTAAATGGGGATTTACAAAGAGTCTTTAATAAATATAAGGAGGGGATTTAATTAAGAACCGATCAATAGGTTTCTCATACGAAGACGGCAAGCAAGATTCAGTCGAATTAATACCATAATCTGTTTAATTGATATCTTAGAAGAAACGATTTTATCGATTTCCGTTTGCATGCTTACATTATTTTCTCTATTTGATATTATGGTCAGCTTGAATTTATTTTCAGTGACAATTTGGGTTAAGTATGGGAATTCGGGAACTCCTATGACGCTCAGTGACAAAGTATCATAACCAACGCATATATGATTCTTATCATACTCGAGTTGTCAGTCAGTTGTCAGCCCGATCCATAAAAAAAGACTAGTCTGTAGGAGAATCGAAATATGTATTAAAAATAACTAGTGATAAAAGGAATAGTCATTCTGCGGGAAGCTTGCTAGCTCAGTTTCTAAAATAAATTGGAATAAAGCTCACCTGAGTATCCCAAGTGTTAGTATCACTAATCTGGGAGCAATAACTATGTTGTTGTCGAAAGTCGTCAAACTTTAAAGTTAATAAACTATAAAAAATGTACGATCCACAGCGAGGGTTCTTTGAAATCTCTACTCACCAAGCGATTTTATAATAAATGCTGGATTGGGTTTTTTTTACTCTCGCGGTAGATATTGCTATAAATATATCGTTGGCCTTTGCCTGCCAATACTACGACTCTCACAATCAAAATGATATTGAACTCAAGTCCGGAAAATTTGCTGCTGTGACAACATCTTGTAAGCTTTGGGAAACTTAGTTCGGCGGAAGATCTGACACTCTTTTGCTGGCTTTTCTGCACAGATCTCTGAGTCAGCTATTATACTAAGGCGCCTCGGAATAACTTATGAGGAGCCTTTCTATCAAATCAGAAATACACACTGAGGGTCTGACATTCTCTGCCGAGGCGCCAAAGCAATTAGAAAAAATAATGCAATTTATCAACTCTTAGTGTAAGACTGTTTCACAGGCTGATCAATCACTGAGCGCCGTTTTTTTTGTAACTTTTAAATTTTTTATCTACGTATTGGATAATAATACGGCCAAGGGAAGTTAAAAACATTCTTGGAATAGAGAAAATTTACCCCATAAGAAAGGATAATGAACTATACAAATTTTAAACTGAGCTCAGGAGAGGACCTAAAACATCGGAAAACACCTACCTGAGCTCACTGCCTCGTCGATATAATAATTAAGATCTTTTTATAATCGTGGGGGCCGATGAAAGCAATACTAGCGAAGCAATCACATTGTGTATAACCGGCGGTCCAAATCTGTATTAGGGAGGTATTATGATCCTCCTTAGCATTGGTGCTTTGAAAACTCTGGCAAGCTTTACATAAGCTGGGTAACTATTCCATTCGAGTACCAAACACGGGAAATTTCTACAGGATGTCATTCTCACCCTTGAGATTTTAAGATCATTGTATTTCCTCGCCATTCGAAATGTTTCGGAGGCAAACGGTAATTGCCGCAATCTCCGAAATGCCATGTAGATTAAAGTAATATATATTGTATTTTATACTTGCAAGCAGGGGACTGAAGGGGTTACATAGGTCTTGAAACTTCAAAAAATTCATTTTTTTTAATAATATTTTGTATAAAAGTACAAAGTCGATCGAGACGAAACTGTAGAAATTAGAGAGTTTTATAACCCGCCGTCTTTGTCATGGCTTGACCGATGGCGAAAGCTTTTTTTAAAACCACTTTATAGAAATCTGTAGTCAGAATTTCTCAACGACTATTGAAGCGATAGAGTTCAAATTTGCCACACTTCTTTTTAAGCATGTTTTTGTGGTCTCTGAATGAAGGATTTATTTTATCATTGATTTCAACTCATTTTACAAGCCTAATTTTATGCAAAAAATTCAATTTTTAATTTTTTTTTTAATATTTTTTCGTTCAGAGGCAAGGAAAATTTTAGAAAAAATTTGGATTTTTGATATCAGATAAAAATTGAAAAAGTTATCATGACTACCGCGAAAGCACTTTCTTGTGGTTGGTCTACTTCACGACACTGCCAAACGCCTTATCGTATACTATTTTTCATTCAAGTTTTCATCAAATGTTGTGCACATATTGTATTTTTATATGTAAACAAAATAAATTGTATGCTTTGTTTAATATCTTTAAAAAAATTAGAGAAAATAAGTTTTTTTTGCCTTCAAAACCTTACATTTGTAACCCCTTAATTAGTCTCATATACCCTCATGGTGTTCTTTCGAATAGCTAAAAAGGCTTGCTGGAGAGCAACAACTAATTTTTTCACAGATGAAAAGCTAGAAATTTGCTAAATGGAAAGGTATAGTGTTACTTCTGGTTACCTACCATGAATTATAATCTCGGCAGTCAACTGGAACGTAGAGTCGCAAAACCATGCTCTGGTAAAATTCCATAGCGAGCGAGATAATAATACCCAAACTATTTTCAATGAAATGGAAACTCTCAATCGCAAACTGTGGTTATCTGGAAAATAAATGTTAAAGGGTTTTTTAAACAAGATCGCCAGTTGTTGGGCAACTCATCGAAGCAGAATTACACTGCTAAGTTTTATTTGTTTTTAATATGAAAATATTTGATTTAATGGATATAAATCTAGAAATGGATACTAAAATGTAAATTTTATTCAAAAAAAAAAAAAAAAAAAATACTCGAAAATTAATGAAAAAAGCTCGTATATTAAATTTACTCATCAGGTTGCTGGATACGCGGTTTCCTTGTGACGCAGACGAAAGCGCGACCGTCCGTCGCCGCATAAAACATCAAATATATCATCAAAAAACTAAATATAAACGCTTGTCTTTGCGGGATTAGGCAATAAAATATTCACTAAGCGAACATAAATGCGTGCGCTGAGAAGCCAGCAGACGCCGTTGGATATACATATTTATATATATATTTTCTTAGGCCTGCAAGAGCATTAAAATACTCGCATAAGTACTACATTCGTATACAGACGAATTTTCAAATATCTGACGAGCTTAAAAAATTTTGAAAAATAATAAATAAATAAATAAAATAATTAAAAAAAAAAACGTCTGCAAATCAAAGGGTAGAATAGAATACTTTGTGGTATTGACTTTAGTGCATTTTCCGCATTCCTTTTTGTCACACCCATCAAGAGATTTTAGAGTGGGTGATAATGACTTTTGCGGTGCTCTTTGTCAAATAGATTTCCCCACTAAAATGTACACAAGAGGAAGTGCAGCGGCATTTGAAAAAAAAAAAAAAAACACCAGCATATGGCTTAAGGTACGCCACCCTCAATAATGCAAGAACATAAGAAAGAAAAAAGAGAAAGGTCCCTTCAATGAGTCTACTAACTGCGTATGTGTATGTGTGCATATCGATGTTTGAAAAAGCGCAGCAGCACCAACACTCATGATTGACTTCCCTATGAAAGTGCTATTTTCCATACTGTCGCGCTAAACGTCCGCTGATCGCACACCTACGTTAACGCCGACGCGCGCAGCACGCAGCACGCAGCACGCAGTAAAGATCGCATATTCTCACTTAGAAATATTTGTATATATGTAATTTATGTGCCGCCACGAGCAACTCATATGTAAGCAGCCTCTGATCGGCCATCGTCGCTACTGATCGCCGCTACTGATCGCCTGTTGTCTGTTGTCTTGGCTGTCTTGCTGCCTCAAAAACTTGCTGCTCAGGAGGATTCACGCGTTTCAGAATCGTATCAGTAGTGAAAGTGTAGCAATAGCGAACAGTTCGCCAATCGGTTGATCTGCACTAGTCCGGTCTATTCATATTGAATCGTTGCCCGCACTTAAGTGCAGTGCTTGGCCCCAACAGCTATAGCCGAAGGAGCCATAGCAGTCAGTAGACAATATACAAACATATCTCCACGGCAGAGAGTGAAGTAAAATAAAAAAAAAAATAAAACAAACAACACAAACAAATAAAAAAAAAAGAAAAATTAAAAGTTGAAAAGTGAAAACTCTGATTTCAGTTGATGAGTTGGTTGAGTTATTTTTAAAAAATATATTTTTGGAATTTTAATTTCTTTGTGGTTTTTGTCGCATTGCCACCGCCACTCGTTACTACTTGCAATCATGTTGTGGAAATGCGAGCAAAAGTGTTGAAGTTTCTTTTGGATGAAAAATCATTAGTTAGAAATTAAAAAAAAAATTAAATTGTGAATTTAAAAAAAAAAAAACATAAAATTTTGTGTTAAAACCACACAAAGTGTACTGCGACAAAATGTTTTCAAAATTCAAGGATATTGCACAATATTTGTGCTTGGCGCTATTGCTGTGCACGTTCGCCACCGCTAATGCCCAATACCAGCACTATGTCGACACATTGGGCGCCAATGTGTTCTTTGAACACCCGGAGGGCTCCCAGTCGCCCATTCATTATCTGAATGAAGGTGATAGCGAATTTGTGGCATTGGATTTGGATAGGCCCATGAGTTTCTATAGTGAAAAATACGATAAATTATTTGTAAGTATGCCAGAAAATACAATGCATTATAATAATAATATATGGTGGCTAAATGTAAAATATGGGTCCCTCCATTTGCTGCAGAGAAATCAAGACGCAAAACCAGAAATTTTAGGAGAAGCTCAACCGAAAATCGCTTCAGCGGTTACAAAGAGCCGATCATACAGTATACTGGCACTCTCTGTATTTAGCGTGCCTTTCATTCTAACTGTATATATATCTTTCAAATGGATCGATACTTCTTCTTCTTTACTAGCATAGCCACCGCTTACGCGATTATAGCCGAAATTATAACAATGTGTAAGTCCTTTCTTTTTTTCGCTGTTTGCGTCAAGTACAGCCTGGTCTTTACAACGGGGTGGAGGTCTTCCCCTTCCCCTTATTCTGTTCCTCTGGAAACTCTAGTATTCTTCGTTAGCACAGCCGCTGTTTCTTGATTCGATGAACTGTGTCATTGCAGCCGTATACCTCATACAGCACATCCTTCCATCGGCTGCGTTTTTCGACGTTCCCAACTCGTAGAGGATCATAAATCTTTACGCAAAACCTTTCCCTTGAAAACTCCTCACCCCGAATTAATCAGATACTGTCATCGTCTATGCCTCCGCAACATATAACAGGAGGGCAACGATGAACGACTTGAAGAATTTGGTTTTCGTACGTCTAGAGAGGGTTTTACTTTACAATTACCTACTCAGTTCAAGGTAGTACCTGATGGATAGAATGATTCTGTGCTGATATTGCTATTGGTGTTAATACTGGCTGCAAGATAGACAAAGTTATCTTTTACGATTTCAATCTTATGCCTGTCGGCAGCGACGTGGAAGCCTGCAAGTAACTTAAGAACCTGAAGATATGAGAAAATGTCATTCTATTTTTTTCAACATTCCTCAAAGCCTTGGTTCTTTCGATTTTAGCATGATGAAATATTATAAATTAAAGGAAAAATAAATAGATGGAAATCGGTTCCAGCAGAAGAGTGAAATTCATTTTTGTTTTAGAATTTTTTTCTTTTGTACTTTTATACAATAAAGAATTGCTATTTTTGATGAAGTTTGTTTTCGATTCTCCTTTTTATTTTTATTATAGAATTTAAATTTGCCACTAAACATTGCATGTATTTGGTATGTCAAATATTTGGAGGTTTTTTTCGATATATCCTTAGTGTGTGACCGCCTCCAGAAAATACTTACTAGTACAGTCATAAATTCTCGAAGATGGCACACATTAGTCAGAGGTGATTGGTGAGCGGTTATGATGATGATTCCGCCTCGCCTGCATATTTTTAAGGTTGGATTTGTAACCAGACTGCAACTGTCATAGCTCCTAGCAGCAAGCGAAAGGTAAAACTATGCGTGTAGTAGAAAGTTCTCGATCTCCACTGATCAACGCTTTCTCAGAAAGGTGGTTGAGTGTGTGATGTGCTATTTTTCCAGCATTTGCCTGTTATCGAGAGGTTTATGTGTTCTGTGGTCTGTGCCATGCCCGAGAGGTACTGCCACCCGTCTAAGCACTTCTCAGCTAAGAAATGACACTAGAAAGCAGTAGATCTACCGTTTACTTGATTGTTGCCACTTCTGCTGCAATAATGATAGACTGACCAGAAAGTCTGAGGCCGTAGTTGATAACGAATACCTGACGGATATTCCGTCCCATCGTTAAGGAGTTTATTGGTAGGAAATTTTAATTGTTTTAAGAACCCAGTAAATTTCAAAAGGCTCATTTGATTGGTTAATGATTTTCTCGGCTTTCACTTGGTTTTCCATTAAGGGATTCGTTGAGAAAATCTGTTTCTTTGTAAAAAAAAAAAATGTGTGTTTCTAGGCACCGCACATTTTGTAGACTTATTTTTAATTTTTTAAATTTTTTTTTAATAAACATCGCCTCTTAAAAATAGGTTTTTTCAAGCAAGTTTTTGAAAGTTATAAATCAAAAATAATTGTCATTTGGATATATTTACATATGTATGTATATGTTGCTAGCACCGAAATAATGTTCTTCCAACCATTTAAACGAAAATTTATACTCAAAATCTAACGTATGTATGTATGTATACATGTGGTGGTATTTTAAGAAGTAACTCCCACACGCACCTTGCGGCATGATTAAACACAAAATTTATTGGTACTCCAAGTAGTAAAATGGCTTAATTAAAGCGAAAATGGCCACAGTAGAATTCCATGTTTTTCGCGCCACAACACAAAGAACACAAAATTTATTAAATTGTTCAAAAAAAAAACAAAAAAAAAAAAAAACTAAAAAAAAAAACAGACACTTCGCGTGAAATTTGTCACGAAATTGCGTTGCCTAAAAATATGAAAATTTTCAAAAGCAGACAAGACGCAAATGCTTGGCTGTCGGCCAATTTATTTATTTTATTTATGTATGAAAAAAAATGGTTTGTGTATTTTTTATGTTGCCACATGTGGCCATTAAGCAGATCGAGAGGCAAATGTCCTGTGAAATACAGTAGAAGCGGCGAGCGCAAACCACACTGTCATGCGGCTAATGAAAGTGAAAAGTGAAAATATTTCATATCGGCAAGTGTGTGGCTGAAGTGTCAATAAGTGCTGGCGACGCTCTCAATTAAGATCATTAAATTAGGCCTAAAATTTGTATGCAAATACTTGTTGGCAATGACTGTTTGAAAAATGTGGCGCTAAATTGGTTGGTATGTGGTTGGTCTGAAAGAGCGATTTGGCGTGAAAACATACATAATTTTAACGTATAAAAAATGTCAAAAAACTCAACATTTTTCCGAACGTGAAAGCTTTATTAATATTTCAGAAACTTAAAGAAAAAATCCTTTGTTCTAGAATTCCAAGGCTTATCCAATTGTCGAAATTGCGTTCTTTTCCAAATAAACATAATTTTCGAAATTAAAAAAATATTTTTTTAAGTTCAGTTATCGAAAAAGAGATATTGATGGTAGGTTTTGGAGACACTATTTATATTGAATTAATAAAGATCCTCATGAAAAACCATCAGCCGTTCGGAGGCGGCTTAGTAAAAACTGTTCGGAGAGGTCCTTTCCGATGCTGACGGAGTCTTCAGTGATGCCTAACTTCAGGATACCAATTTCAGACATAGCGGCGTAGAGGCAGCTCCTTTGCTCTGGCCAATGGTTGATTTACCAGGTCTGAAGCCCCACTCATAAGAAAAACCACTTTGTTGACGATGTTAAGAAAGCTTATTCCACGTTTTTCGGCGCAGAATGTGGGATCGTCTTTTTTGTGGACTTGGGCAGAGCACACTTAGGTTTCAATCGTCAGGCAAGCTTCCGTCCAACCATATTCTGCAAAGAAGCTGGTGCATGCACCTTATCAGTTCTTCACTGCCGTATTAGAATATTTCGGACGGGCAACCAACCATTGGCCCGCCGCTTTGTTGTTTTTCAAGCGAGCAATTGCTAGTCATCAATTGGGGAGTGGAGTTTTGGCCATCAGTGATTAGAAAACCTTTTTAAGAGTTCAAAACGTGTCTAGGTATTTTGACCGTGTGAGTTTATTCCTCTCACTAGTACATCCCACGAGCAGTTATTGGGGGATATTCCTTTGTCTGTGTATCCAGGCCACGGTAGTGCGGCATTTGTTCGAGAATCTATTCAAAGCGTTTAAACTTTCGCCGCAATGGAAGTGCTATAATTGTCTTGAAGAAATCTGAAGCTTGCCGGTTCGTGTCGTTCTAATTTCCAAAAAAATATAAAAATTAATTCAAATAAAAAATTAAGCTTAATTTTCTGATTGCAGTCGGCACGGCAGGGAACAGGGAACGTCAACCATAACGAGTGTGCTTCTGACATGAAATAAAGCTCCGCGGAGATGGCTTAATGTAAAGCGTGGGTCCCTCCATTTGTTGGAAAAAAATCAAGACGCAAAACCAAAAAATTGGAGAAGGAGCACGACCGAAAATCGCGTCAGCGATTATAAAGCGTCAATCTTATAAATGCATATAAAACGAAAATTCCATTCGGGAGTAAATTTTTTTATTTTGCAAATCTATTCTGGAAAGTAATAAATTATTCTCAATCTAAATATCTTCATAAAATAGCTTGCGTTTCTATTCGGGCGTAGAAATTCCGGTGTTAACTGCCTCCAGTCTACGACCGATGCAGGTTCATTGGAACCGTTTCGATATACAAATATAATTATTTTATGTATATCAATTGCGATTTCAATAAATTTCGAATTTGCAGCAACAAATCGTATAATCTTATCAACAATAATGGAATTGCATTTATGTGACGAATGTGTTTGTCTGTATGTATGACTGTAAGTGTATGTGCACGGGTAGACAGCAGAAGCGGTGTAAATAAACTTAATTTGTGATCTCGTGCTGACTTCCCTGTGCTCCAAGTTGTAAATTGTCTCTCTATAATAAGATTTACGATCAATCACTGCTTAATTTTGTGCATGTGTGCATGTGTGTATGTGTGCCATAAGGTGTTTGGCATGTACATATGTATTTGTGGACTTTGTCGTGCGAAGTGCAACAACAGCTGCTTTGTTTCATTTGGGTCTGTGATCTATTTTCTCTGAGTGCATTGTTGATCGTGTGACTATATGTATGTATATGTTACATGCGTATGTAGGAGCACATATGTATGTATATGTGTGAATGAAAATATATTTGTTTGTTTGTAATCAAATTTGAGCGTTAGAAATTGTGTTATCATGTCAAATGATTACAGATGTTCTTACAAATTTCAATTTTTTTTGCTTTTTTTTTGTTTTTTTTTTGTTTTTTTTTTTTTTTACTTTCATCTACTATGACTGTGCATTGTAAAAACTAGAATAAAATAATTGTTTAATCTATTATGGATTAAAAAAAATGTAATTCAAATATTCTTTCTTACACTTTTTTTCACAAAACTTCTCTTAACCATAAAATCTTGCGAAGCTGTGAATTTATGAGGCGGCAAATTTCAGATCATTAAAGCGTCAATTAGCTCAATAATTTATTGACATGCTGTGTTCTTAATTATGTTGTAAGAACATAAC